AGTAAGCATTCAAAAAATAATTATTTTCTGGTCTTAACAACATTTCTTTAGCTTCTTGAACTTCAGGTTTTGTATGTATAAGTGACACAATTGAACTCAAGTTTATTTCTAGGGTACCTTCCAGCTAACATTCTTTTCTCCTATATGATACATGCTTTTATTTATGGCAATGACAATAATTTATGCTCTGATGCCATTGTGCTTTAGTTATTGCTGCTTTCTTTAAACTCGTTCTCTGGTGAATAGTGGTACTGCCCCACCTCACTGTTCTTCCTTATTAAAAGTCTTTCATATGCCTTTACTAAAATCTTTAAAAAAATTTAAAGGCAATGTGTTGGTTTGCATTAAAGTATAATTAAAAAGGCTAGACTTACATATTACTTAGTAACTGCAAAAGAAAAAATGTACCTTGGAGAGCTCTGGTTATCATCACTATAGTGTCACTAATAGAAGGACATTCTGACATTAGGTGCTTCTGGTTGGAAGTTCCCCAATTACCTGATCAAATCAGACCTAACTTTCAGTTTATAAGAAATTCAGGAGATAGAGGAACAAGTTAAACAGCATGAGGAAACAATCAGAAAAGCCCAGAATGTGAGAGATTCTACAAAACCTAGACTCTTCAAAGGGTCAATGTTATGTTATAAAGAAAAAAAAAGTAATAGAATAGATTAAAAGAGACTCGAGATATACCAAATGCAATGAGTAAAAATCTTGATTAGATTCTGGTTCCATTAGGGAAAGAAACTATACAAGATATTTTGGGACATTTGGATAAATTTGAATATGGGTTGGTAGTAGACTATATTATGGAATTTTTGCTAATTTTCATAGGCGTATTAATGATATTGTGGTTAAGTAGGAGATTTAGACTTTTTTTGTGTGTACAAAATGTGTTTATTGGGCTTGTTCCTCACTCATCTTGATTCAGGGTACTTTACGCGCTGCTTCCTTCTGAAGGAGCATCCTTCTGTGAGCCTTGCTTTTCCTCCTGTGGGCTGACAGGACAGTGGAGCAGCCAACACACAAAGCTACCGTGGGTGCATGGCTAAGGACGATGGTGATTTTATGTGGGTATTTCACATCCTTGAAGTAGGAATTGGGGCTCTGCACCAGGCACTTTTTGTGTTTCCTCTTCTCTTCTGGAGAGGGATGAGAGATGTCGGCAAGAGGCATGTTCTTGTCGGGAGGTTCTCACTGCCGGAAAAGGAGAAT